GAAATTAAACGTATTTTTAGATATTTTAATTAATTTGGGCCAATTTTTATTGGTTTCATTTTCAATGTATTGTACTGATGTTAATTATTAGCGATTCAATTTTTTGAGTACTTTAATTTATATCTACTGTTAAGACATTGTAATTTACGGGTCTATTTTTCCCGGATCATTACAATTGCTTACAGATGTGCACCGAATTGACCCGTTTGTTCCAGGTTTTTCTAGAATTATAATGATCACATAATTTCGTGCAAATAAATTTGGAACTATACAGGGCGTTCGGCACATGAGTAGACATACGTAAATCTGAGAAAGGTGGGGCCGTCTGCTATGCGGTTCACCCAGATATTTTGACCTGTAGTTTAAGTTTTGTTTTAATTATTCTATAGAATTCTGTTGAGTCCATGCACATTTGGGCCCTAAGAGTTTTTTTTTAGAATTTTTTAATTTTTTTTCCAAAATTTTGAATTTGCAGATTTTAAACTGAAATAACCTTTTGAAAAATCATGAATCTGACATTTTTATTTAATTTCCATCTAGACTAATTCTAGACTCATATGAATTTAATAATTGGGGCCCATGACAGCTACAAAGAAAAATACGAGCCCTCAAACCACAAAAAGAGGTGAAAAATAATTCTAAGAGCCAACTTTGCATTGCATTTGAAAGAAAACTAGAAATGATCGAGTATTTCTAATTAGTCAAAAACATCTTCAATTCATGCTCTTTCGAACGATATGTAATAACCACAACTTGCTTAAAAACAGAAAGAGTTATTTGTCAACTTTATCAATGGTGGGCGTTTTTTACGAAATTCTACTTTTGAGGTAGGTGCATTTTTTGCGTTAAAAACTTACCGTAGCTACTAAATAAAACAGTAAGATATTGATTATACAGGGTGGCCAATTGAAAACGAAACAGAGGTGATTTTGGGCTTCCCAAGACATTTAAGAAAAAACCCTCGTACCCGTCGATTTTTGATTTAAGGGGGAACCATTTTTTTGGCATTTTCACCCCCTGGGGGGCAAAGCCCTAGCGGGGGTGACAAGGGCCCCCAAAATTTTAAATGGAATGAGGGGTCGAGTGATACCTTATTTTGAAGGTTTTTTTATGTAGATTATAACCCCCGAGTTTTACATCGCTACTATCTACCTAGCCATTACAGGGGCTAATTAAAGCTACAAAAACATGTTGGGATATTTTGTATTTAAAAAAATGCTCCAAAAACAAAATCAATCAAGTAAATGCTGAAAATGACCACAGAGGAAAAAATCTAACGGGCTTAAATCTGGAGAACGTGGGGGCCACTCAATAGCTCGTCTCCTTCGTCTCCATTGTCCTGGAAACGTTTGGTCCAAAAATTGACGAACCAGTGCAGCATAGTGGGATGGCGCACCATCTTGCTGGAATATTAAACGGTTTTCCATGTATCTGTTATTATTCTCTAGTATCTCCACCAATTCTGGATGAATCGCATCTTCTAATCACTCTAGGTACATTTCTCCTGTTAAATTTATAGGTAAATAAGGGGCCACGGTTACCAAAAATGCTAGTCCAAACACTCAATTTCTTGGGATGTTGCGTATACACCTCACGAAATATGTTTTCAGCGGCAGTTGTGACGATTCACCATACCGTTTAAGAAAAAAGAGCCATCGTCAGAGAAATATACATTGAAATTGAACTGCTGCTCTATTTATTGGAAAAAAAATGCGGGTTATGGGTTTTTCAATGGTGAGAGAGGAGGAAATAAAACGAAAAAAGGGGTTAGTAGCACTATTTAATTCAATTTCAATTCAATTCAATTCAATTTTTATTGTTTCCAGAAAGTATTTTCTATAACTATAATTCAATTCAATAAAGCTTTATTGTCCTAATTCTTAACAAAATCACTGACAAAGCAAAAGGTACAAAATAAGTCCTAAAAACTATACATAAAAGGCAGGTAATAAAATTTCATAAGTTCCGTCTAAAATAACAATAACAATTTAGGTAAGTGCCTCAAGCAGCGTGACACTAGTCATGAAAGAAGCCTTCAGCAAAATTGTTTACTACGTATATCATAAATCATAAATATCACTGAAAATGGTTAAAAGATTAAAATAGTAATAATAACAAACAGATTAGAAATAACAAACAACAAATTCAAAATGGGAAATCACACAAGCAAATAAAAAAACAATAATAAAACACAACAAAATAAAATAGAATAAAATAAAATAAATAAAAACTTTAAAATATAGTAACATAATCCGTCCTATAAAACTCTAAGATAATATAATAGCTACAAATAAATTTTGGAATCATAAACAAAACGCTGTCATTCATAAAACTCTCCCAGGCTATAATAAGCTTTTTCAATTAGGAATGCCTTAAGTTTTTTTCGAAAGAGTTTGTACTGTTCAATGTTTTTAAGTTCCCTTGGCAGATGATTGAAAATTTTGATTCCCTCATAAACTATTAAATGTTTCACCAATGCAGATTTCGGGATTGGTAGACGTAAATTGCTGTTGTTTCTTAAACTATAACTCTCAACCCTATCATAGTTCTGAAACTTCGTGTAAATCAAGCAGGCCGTCTCCAGAATGAAAATTGACGGCACTGTCAAGATCCGTTCTTGAACAAAGAGGGGTTTGCAGGTTTGTCGGTAAGCTGCATTGAATAAAGTTCTGAGGGCTCTTTTCTGTAGGACAAACACTGACTGAACGGATGTCTGGGTTGAGAATCCCCAGAATGCGATTCCATATCTAACATGTGACTCCATCAAGGCGTAATATGCAGTTTTGGCGGTGCGTTTTCCGAGCTCTTGCAATATGTTTTTAACCATGTAGCATCCCTGTGAAAGTTTTCTATTAAGCATATCGATATGTGTTTCAAATCTTAACCTCGAATCTACGTGCATCCCAAGAAACCTTACAACATTTTTTTCCCTAATAGTGTCTCCATCAAGAGTGATACCATCCAATGAACATTTAAACATTAAAATATTAGTTTTTGAGACATTAAAGACTAGAAGGTTTGCATCGCACCATTCCTTTATTAATGCCAAATCACGCTCTATAATGGTTGAAAGAACCTGCGAATCCTTATGTCCCCAGAGAATGGTCGTATCATCTGCAAACATCACAAAAACTCCCAATATTGACAGCGAGGCTAGGTCGTTTATGTACAGTAGAAAGAGCACTGGACCGAGCACTGAACCCTGTGGTACTCCTCGAGTTACATTCAGAATTTCGGAGTCGTCCCTGTTAGGTATTCTTACAAATTGCCTTCTTCCCGACAGATATGACTTAAACCAGTTCAGCTCCTTCCCACGGACGCCATAATGACTCAACTTCCGCAGCAGTATTTCGTGACTTACGCAATCAAATGCCTTTGAGAAGTCACAAAACACTGCCGCAGCCCTCTCGCCATCATTCAAGCTAAAGAAAAGCCTTTCGAGTAGAGAAAATACTGCTTCGTTTGTGCCCTTGCTTTCCTGAAATCCGAACTGATTTGATGACAGAATGTTGTTATCATTTAAATAGTTAACAAGCCTTTTTTTCACGATTTTCTCTATTATTTTTGAAAGGGTGGTTAGTAGAGAAATAGGGCGATAAGCAGAAGGATCTTGATCATCTCCCCCTTTGTAAATTGGGAGGATTACTGCCCCAATGCCATTTAATTATACTCCATTATTTAGTACAATGATATCAAAAAATTGTGATGCCTCAAGCCTCGATAATTTAAAAACACATGAAATTTGGTTAAGTCAGTTAAATAAATGCTGAAATTGACTACCATCCACTTCCATACAGAAATAAATATTCTGTTCAAAACGCTCCCGCACATTTCGAAGCATTTGTGGACTGATTTGACGACACTCATTGATTATCCGATCTCGTAAATTCCCGTGGAGAGAAGCTATTGTGTGGTCCCCACGTTCTCCAGATTTAAGCCCGTTAGATTTTTTCTTCTGTGGTCATTTTCAGCATTTACTTGATTGATTTTGTTTTCAAAGCATTTTTTTAAATACAAAACATCCCAACATGTTTTTGTAGCTTCAATTAGCCCCTGTAATGGCTAGGTAGATAGTAGCGATGTAAGACTCGGGGGTTATAATCTAAATAAAAATAGCTTCAAAATAAGGTATCACTCGACCCCTCATAACATTTGAAATTTTGGAGGCCCTTGTCACCCCCGCTAGGGCTTTGCCCCCCAGGGGGTGAAAATGCCAAAAAAATGGTTCCCCCTTAAAACAATCGACGGGTACGAGGGTTTTTTCCTAAATCTCTTGGGGAGCCTAAAATCACCTCTGTTTCGTTTTCAATTGGCCACCCTGTATATTGTATTCATGAAAAATATTCGAATTGCCGCCGTCCATTATTCATTGAAAATTTTGAAAAAAAAAAAATTAAAAAAAATTCTTAGGGTCCAGGTCAAAAAATCTGGGTGGACCGCATAGCAGACGGCCCCACCTATCTCAGATTTACGTACGTACGTCTACTCATGTGCCGAACACCCTATATACTAAGACCAGCAAAATTACATTTTCCGTTTGATAAAAAACTGATAGCGCAGTTGAAAATATGTAATAAGAAAACGTTGGGCTCAATTTTTCTTCTTTATCAAAAAGATACAAAGTAAGATGTCATCCACTACTTTCTTTCTTCCTTTATTTATTTGACAATTTACGGATTAGGTAAGTGATTCCAATGATACAATCCATTACGGAAAAGTCTCTGATAACTGCGGCCACTGCGGCAATGATTCGCCAAATCGATTTTCGTGGTCATAGACAGTAGACAAACAACCAAATTTGAAGTACTTCAGTAATTCATTTTGACTGATATATATAGTTTGAAGTAGTTTATCTACGCTTAGGTACGCACTTAAATACATATAATAATAGAAGTAAATATTATTATCAATTTATCAAATTTACTTATGGCTATTTGCATGGCTATCACTTAAAGGATATTTAATCTAAGTGGAGCTGTGAACTTGACTTTTGTTTCTATAAGAGTCACATTCAAAGCTCCATTGGGTTTAAATATCCCTTAAGTTGAAGCGGTGCGAATAGCCGTTAGCTACCTATAGTTATTACGAGGTTATTACCAATACAAATTCTAAACAAGTTAATAGTAGACTAATAATTGAAAAAAGTGTGTCTATCAAAAATGATATTCGAGAACGGTATAATTAAAACTCCTGATTTGGAATTTAACGAAAACTCTGGAGGCGTTGGATGTATATTGTATGAGACTCTTAAACAATATGAGAACAGAATTGCTTTGGTAAGTAAGATTTCTGTTTAACTAGAAGAACTTCCATGGGAATTATAGCTATATTATTATGTTACCGGCCAAACTTGATTAGAATAAACCTGAGGGATAAACTAGTTTTTCCTATGACAAACTACATACCATCTGCAACAGTATTTAAGAAAGCTTCAATTGTATTTTAGAAAAGGCATTTGTATTTGAGAAATCCCTATATGAATATTGGAATAAAATTTTCAAATACAAATAAGTATTCTAAAATACAATTGAATGGTTCTAAAATGCTGTTGGAAAAGGTGTAGTTCATCAGAACTCTAGACCAAATTGGTCCATTATTTTTAAAAGTAGACATAATAAGCAATTATAGTAAAATGCCAAGTTTGGCTTCCGATTTTATAAAATCCACCCTCGATTGCTTGAAAAGCAAGTCGGATAATGTTCTGAAGATCTCAAGTTTTGCTGGTGAATACAACTTGTCAGAATATGATTTTATCTCCTTGGCCTGCTTTTCCCGAAGTTCTCGAAGCTGGAGTGCATTCTCATTCGAGCCTTCATCTCCATTCCTATCATCATCTCCAACCCCCTCTTCGTTTTCATGTTCTCGAAATGTCCTTTTCGTTGTCCTTCAGTAGCTCTGAAGTCTCTGAAGGTAAAGAGACCAAGCCTGGATAAGGCGCCAATCATTGCCTTGTGAGGCGATTGTTTGATGCCTAATTGCCTAAATGATGTTAGATACTGGACTTTTAATTAATTCAATGTTGTACCATTTTGAGTATTTCTTTATTCAAGGTTTATTTATTTTATATATTTATTGAGCGTGGTACACTACATCAGACTTAAACTCTAAATGACACATTTAAAATACCGTAAAACGAGGATATTTTGTGACAAGAGGGAAACTTTGTGACATTGTGAAATCAAATAAGCCAATACGTTTTAAATTCCGCGTTCCAAGCCAAATTCTTCTACCGGCAGGTGAAAGCACATACCTCACCAGCTACAAAGACCACTCGGCAAGCTGGTACGCTCTCTTGGTAACTAGCATTCTGATTCAAAGGGAGCATCTCGTTTTTGTAACTTTTTCGAAACCCCTAAAACTTTCTACTGTAAATCAGAACCTGAACATTCCTCAGAGAAATTCGTAAGACTTTCCAATTGCTTGGGTACTTGTCGGGATATCTACGTGAAATCGCTTACGATTTATTAATTTGAAACATTTTTTTTTTAACAATAAACAAAATGGAGGAACCTTCCGGGGCAACTTTGTGACATATAATTAGTATGGAAGAAACTTATGCTCAACCTAAAACAACGCTAAAAAGATCGACATGTCTCCTAATGTGGACGACTTCCTATTGGCGGAGTTCACATCCCAATTTCTGGCTGAATATGAGGGTGATAAATACTATATCGTATGATATACAATAAAAATGTAAAATGTCTAAATCAGTATATACCCGTGTTTCTAATATCAGAAAATTATCAAGCAAATTTTTCTTGACATTTCCTATCGTTTCAGACTGAAAAAGACGGGGTTACATTATGTTTTCATTGTAAAAACGCACTTTCACAAAGTTACCCCGCATCACGGGGTAAGATTGGGACACTTTCAAATTAAAGAAAAGCTGAATTATCAATTTTTTTTCAATTTCCTATTATTGCCATTTTGTAGCGAAAGGACGGATATACATAGTGTATTTTTTTTAGAATTTTATGTGGCAAGGAACTGTTTGAGAATTGCAAAAAAACTCAAAATCTGTCACAAAATATCCCTTTTTTACGGTATTAATATCAATAAAAAGTTGTACATAAAACAAAAATTAAAATTAAACTCAAAACTACCTCAATGTTAAAAACACATAATAAGCCAACACAAACACACTCTAAAAAAATTTGAGTGAAATTTAACTCAAAATTAACTCAAAGTGGTGTCAAAACGAGTCCTCACCGGATTGTGTAAAATATTGACTAATTTTTTTTGAGTAACATTTAACTATTAATGAGTGAAATATATTAATCCTTTTTGAGTCAATTCCAACACAAAATAGTGACTTATATGGAAATATTGAGTGAAATTAACTTCTTTTTGAGTTACTGATAATTAATTTTATGCCACTTTTATATTTTTATTCGCCCACCTAAATCGACAATATGGGCGGTCGTTTGACCATCTGTAATTCAGTTCTATTGGTCGACCTAGATATTATTCCAAAAATTTATTTCCTCATTCGGAAAATGATGTAATCAGAGTCGAAATTGTACGATTATTCAGGGTCAACGAAATGAGAAAGAATGTAAAGGACACTTTAATTCAAGGAAAACCCGCATTCGAAGCGCGTGCTGGCAATAAATCTTATGATCTTTGAAATTTGTATCATTTTTGGACACAATTTAATTAGGTAGGTACTTAACCTTGTATTTTATCTTTTCCGGGTTTTGATTTTTGATTTCAACAAACTTGATGACACACGCTGGTTGACTTATCTATAAGAAATTAAACGTATTTTAGATATTTTAATTAATTTGGGTCAATTTTTATTGGTTTCATTTTCAATTTAGTGATACTGATGTTAATTATTAGAGATTCAATTTTTTGATTATTTGAGTACTTTAATTTATATCTACTGTTAAGACATTGTAATTTACGGGTCTATTTTTCCCGGGTCATTAAAATTGCTTACAGATGTGCACAGAATTGACCCATTAGTTTGTTCGAGGTTTTTCTAGAAATTATGTGATCATTATCACATAATTTCGTGCAAATAAATTTAGAACTATATACTAAGACCAGCAAAATTACATTTTCCGTTTGATAAAAAACTGATAGCGCAGTTGAAAATATGTAATAAGAAAACCTTGGGCTCAATTTTTCTTCTTTATCAGAAAGATAAAAAGTAAGATGGCATCCTCTACTTTCTTTGACAATTTACGGATAAGGTAACTGATTCCAATGAGAATTTCATAAATCTGTCAAAACTGGTATTCCAACAATAAATTGACATGTTTTGATTGTTGATTTGAACCAATCTGATTGTAATTACGCGATAATTTGCACTAGTGCAAATTATCAGATAATTGCATACTAACTGGTGCGAAAACTGGTGTTTTGACATTTTTGGACAAAAAATTTAAATTTTTGATTTATGAAATTCTCTCATTAAATACAACTCGTGCAATGGAAATATATTTATAATTTTCGACAAATTTGCACTCATGCGTTTTTAACTGAAAAAGGCACTCGTGCACTACGTGCACTCGTGCTCTTTTTCAACTAAAATGCATTCGGGCAAATTTCCCAAAAATTATCAATAATTTCCATTGCACTAGTTATATAACTATTGATACAATCCATTACGGAAAATTCTCTGATAACTGCGGCATTGATTTGCCAAATCGATTTTCGTGGTCATAGACAGTAGACAGACAACCAAATTTGAAGTACTTCAGTAATTCATTTTGACTAATATATAGTTTGAAGTAGTTTATCTACACTTAGGTACGCACTTAAATACATATAATAATAGAATTAAATATTATTATCAATTTATCAAATTTACTTATGGCTATTTGCTTAAAGGATATTTAATCTAAGTGGAGCTGTGAACTTGACTTTTGTTTCTATAAGAGTCACATTCAAAGCTCCATTGGGTTTAAATATACCTTAAATTGAAGCGGTGCGAATATCCGTTAGCTACCTATAGTTATTACGAGGTTATTACCAATACAAATTCTAAACAAGTTAATAGTAGACTAATAATTGAAAAAAGTGTGTCTATCAAAAATGATATTCGAGAACGGTATCATTAAAACTCCTGATTTGAAATTTAACGAAAACTCTGGAGGCGTTGGATGTATATTGTATGAGACTCTTAAACAATATGAGAACAGAATTGCTTTGGTAAGAAAGATTTCTGTTTAACTAGAAGAACTTCCATAGGAATTATAGCTATATTATTATGTTACCGGCCAAACTTGATTAGAATAAACCTGAGGGATAAACTAGTTTTTCCTATGACAAACTACACCATCTGCAACAGTATTTAAGAAAGCTTCAATTGTATTTTAGAAAAGTAATTTGTATTTGAGAAATCCCTATATGAATAATGGAATAAAATTTTTAAATACAAATAACTATTCTAAAATACAATTATGGAAGGGTTCTAAAATGCTGTTGGAAAAGGTGTGGTTCATCAGAACTCCAGACCAAATTGGTCCATTATTTTTAAAAGTAGACGTAATGAGCAATTTTAGTAAAATATACCAAGCTTGGCTTCCGATTTTATAAAATCCGCCCTCGATTGCTTGAAGAGCCAGTCGGATAATGTTCCGAAGACCTCAAGTTTTGCTGGTGAATACAACTTGTCAGAAGATGATTTTATCTTCTTGGCCTGCTTTTCGCCGAAGTTCTCGAAGCTGCAGTGCATTATCATTCGAGCCTTCATCTCTATCCCTATCTTCATCTCCAACCCCATTTTTATTTTTATGTACTTCCTTGTTCTTCTCGAAATGTCCTTTTCGTCTTCGATGTCCTTCAGTAGCTCCGAAGTCTCTGAAGGTGAAGATACCAAGTCTGGATTAGGCACCAATCATCGCCTTGTGATGCGATTGCTTGATGCATAAATGAAACTTTAATTTTTCATAAACTCTGTTCGTAGCCCTTCCAACCATTAAATATGTGTTCAATATCTTGATTCGCTTTTCCGAATGATCGCCTACTCTGACGGTGTCATGATTCTCCATCAGGCAAGTTTGTTGCTGTGGGCATGGGCTTTACACTTCTATGGATGCATGGAGCTGTCAAGGTTAAAAATATGGTAATTCAAATGGTAGGTTACTTCCATAGCTGCCGTGCTTTCCAAGGAACGAAGCAGAAGCATTACAACTTTTGTTAGGTGATCCCGATACACCTTTATAAATTTTAACCTAGCATCTGACTGTGTCTGAAATTCAATGAGATCGACTTGGCTTCGGTTCGGCTGTTCTTTTCGGAGTGCAGGATCGGCTTCGAAACCATT